TTAACAAAGTCAGATATTTTTGATTTTGGAACTATTTGACCAGTTTCGCTTCAACCCGTAGATCCGAACTTGTGATGCTTTTTTTAATACAAGTGCGCCTCTACAGGTAGCAGCTGATCCTGGATATACATCATAAAAATTGAAGAAAATTATGGATTTATTTATTTCAGTGTAAGATTAAGAAACTTAACTTTATAATAAAAAAATAAATATTTAAGGACTTAAATTTAATGTTTCAAGACTCGTCTCTATATTTGCTCTTGCATTTTGTTGCATTCTTTTAAATTTATTGCATTTTTTTCTTTTTTTGCACATATCAATTTTGTAAATAAGACATTAAAGTCTTGATTAACAAAAATAAATTATAACAAAAAAAAATCTTTTAAATTTTGTGTCTTCTATAATTCCCATCTTTTTAAGTTGGCAATCATGTTTTTGCAATAGTTATATCAAAATTGCAATAAAACTATAAAAACATAGATGGACTTCTCAGATAATTATATTACCTGTGCATTAGTTAGTACATCGACATATTCATGCTTTTTTTGTATAGCGCAGGTAAATGCATATCGACTAAAATCTCTGCTTTACCTTTGCCTCTGGTTCTCACAGAAACCACCCTTGGGCATTACTTTGTGGGAGGAGGATCTAGAATGTCATCAATGTAATTTTATACTTATCTTTTATGAGGTAGTTGTTTGATATTGTTACTTCCGTATCTTCAAAACGTTTCATTATTTTACAAGTAGGCCTTGTCGTGGTTTAGTGGTAAGAGGTTAAGCCTTGCAACTACAGGGTTCCAGTTTCGATACCCACCTCGGGCAGATCTCATATATTTCCAAGTGATACAATATAATTTATATAGACCTAAAATGTAATTTCAAGTGTTAATAAGAAATATATGAAATATAGGTAGTTATGTTGACTTTGCAAAAACGACATTGTTAAGGAGAGGGTTCACCTCTGATATTCAGAAATAAAAATAAAAAAGACACAAATAATTCTAAATATATCACAATTTGTAATAATTGGATTTCTAATTAGAATGCTACTTACGTTGACCTAAAGAAAAATAATATACTAAAATAAGTTGTACATTTAATTATAGAAAATATCCTCAAAAATAATATACTAAACTGAGTTTTCCATTCAATTACAGAAAATATTTCTCATAAGAGAGAAAATCGTTTATTAACAATTGTGTGGTACGTTTTCTAAGTAAGAAAATAATCCTAATTATTTGTTTCCCTCATACCAAGAAATTGTTTAAATTATTTTAAAGAAACGCATTTTCTTTAGTGAAAAAATATTCTTAATTTGTTTTTTTTTTTATTATTTTGAAAGTGTGGTTAATTTTTAGTGAGTATGTATATACATTTACAATACTGCGTAGGTACACATGGTATAATACAAATATACTTCATATTTCCATTTCTATAAATAAATAAATATTTTTTTCTTTGTTTCAGAAAATGCTGAGTGCTAGTTTTTTATGAAAATTTTGTGAATGGAGATGATATGATATAATTATTCATATAAAATGAGGTAGTAGGTTGTATAGTACTGAATTTTAGCTACTGTACGATCTGCTAACTTTTCTTATATGATTAAAAAAACGACTATTTTTAGTCAGCCGAAATATAAAAGTTAATTTTTACTATATTAGTTATATTAATTATTACAAAAATATTAAGAAAATTCATTATTTTTATTGTTCATATATTTTGTGATAGATTTTTTCATACAAATGTTGAAATGAAAAGATGATAGAGATTCGTTGCAATTTGATAATTTTTGTATGCAAATGTTAATAATCATATGTATGTATATATATATATATATATATATATATATATAAACAATAAAGTTTTAACCAAAATTTGTCCAAATATTAAAGAAAAACCCTGAGTTACATTTTAAAATTTATAAGCTGTTCATACGTTTCAAATCTCTTTCTGAGTGAAAAAACTACAAATATAATAGAAAAAATATTATTTTTGATATTATATTTTGTAGTTTTATCCACCAATAAGTATATAAAATATATTAACTTTTTATAAACTTTACATATTTTTTAAAAATTATTTAAGCATATTTTATTTGTACCAATGTACCCTGGGGTAGATTTCTAATAAGAATCTAAGCGTTTCTAATAAGAATCATAGAATTTCTAATAAGAATTTCTATTTATTAATATATAATATTCATTAAAATATTCCTAGTTTTCAAATTCAAAACTCTTAGTGAACCTGATGATTTGAAATACAAATAATTTTATCAATATTTAAAATTATTTAAACATAAGCAATTAGTTATCGTTGACGCCTTACTGTAATTAAGTGTTATTTACATGTTTCTCTATATATGCAGAAATAATGTTTATGTAGAACTTCGTTTTAATTTGCGTATTTTAACGTAATGCCAAAAGTATGTGCATAATATTTTCCAAACATTTAACATTAATTAGAATTTGTTATATTATTTTGAATTCGAGACAAAGGCGTTTCCTATGAAATTTTATGCACGTATATAAAAATCGATAAGCAAATTAGTTTCATGTTTTTATAGAGATTAAGATATTAGTAAATACGAAAGTGTATTTTAATTGATTGGTTAGGAATTTGGTGTGGAAAGAAAAATATCTGAGGAGCAAACAAAAATGTGTAACGAAAATATTTAGCAATTGTAATTGATGACTCAAAATTCTTGCTAGATAATTGATTTGGAATTAAATTCATAGCTTTTGGAATTTTAATCTCAAGAATTCATATAATATTAATGATGGTAAATAACTTAAATCTGTAAAAACATTTTTGAAGATTTCTTTTATCATCAATTTGTTTTTTCTTGCCTTGTCTCCTGGTACTTGCCTTGTCTTGAAGTACTTGTCTTGTCTTAATGCATTTGAACAAATTATAAATTGATAAGTAAAAGAAAATGTTCTTTTATTATTTTTTTACAAATGTTAATTACAACTTTTTTATTCAAGATCGTGGCATAAATTGTAGTACTTATACTTAGTTTCAATATTATCCGAAAATATTCAAGGTTTTTTTCAAACTCAATCTAGATTTGAGCAGGATAGAAATTTAGAATCTCAAAAACTATTACAATAATAATATTGATGGTAAAAAAATTTAAACTTACACCCTTGCAAAGAGTTATTTTATCATTAATCAAGCAATAAGTTATTTTAATCCATTTCTTTCTAAATTTGGAATTTTATTATTGATGAGTGACCCCTTAGTTAACAAGTAGAGTCAAAGTAAGTTTTAAAGCACTTGTCTTAAGGCTATTTTTTTCTGTCGCTAAAGTTTTCTGTCAATCAATTGCTAAATACTACATATTATAGAGTTGCTAAATATTATGTATATTAAAATTTTATATTTTATTTTAATTAATTTTATAAGGATACGTTTATGATACTGCCGGCTCCCTGAGACCCTAACTTGTGAAGTGAATTGTTAATCTCACAGGCTATGATCTCCGGTATTGGCGGTGCAGTGTACAAAGATCAACGATAGAACTGCAAATATTTAATTAATTAATAATTATAAATTAATTTATGAGCTTAAATAAAATTGCAATATACAGTAGGCTCTTACTAACGATCGCGACAGAATTTTTTGAAAATTTTAACGTTATATCTAATATCATATGCTGATAATTATGATCATTTCATTATAATCCACTAATCCAAACATTCCAGTAATCCGACACCGGTTTTTAATCGTGTCGGATATTAAATTTGTATATTATATTAAATACCATATAATAATGTGCTGTAAATTGCAGATGTTTATCCAATTCCTAGGAAAATATAATTTTATTTATGTACAAATATGTAATTTATAAATTTTTTGTAAATTATGAAATAAATATTAAATCCAAATTATTAATTTATATTGTAACTAAATTTACAATAAATATTTTATAAAAAAAACTTACTATATTGACTGAAGTTTATTTAAATTCGTTTATAGTTAATTTTGTTTGTTATTTTGCACAAACAATAAATTGTAATTCTAGATTTTAATGTATGTCATGTATATATTAATTTATTATCATTTTATTAATTCAATTAATAAAATGGTAATAGATTAATTTTAATAATTCTTGTTAATTCTAATGTGATAATATTCTAAACTTGATAAGTTAATCTTGATTAAGTTAAAACACATATTCTGGGTAAAATTATAAATATGTCATGATATTATTATATTTATTTTCCAATCTACATACAATTCTATTTGTACTAATACTGGTATCCTGGTATACATGTTTTTAACAATAAGATAATTTGTCATGAAATGATTTTTTTTACAAAATATATCTCAAACAAAAAATTTCAATTTATATTAACTTATTTATACTTATGTTTTTTTATATTTTATACTAATTTATACTTAATTTATTCAATAACATTTATAAAAAACAAACACAATATTTAAATGATTAACTTATTTTATCAGTTAATAACAAAAAGTAAGAAGTAACAGTAAGAAAATAACAAATTAAAATATTTAAGAGAAATATACAAATATAATTTTAAAATATAAAATTATGTATTTGGAACATAATTTTAAATAAGAAAAAAAAATTTAAAACAATAAAAAATGTCTTTCAGAAAACACAAAAATGTATTTTGAAAAAATTATTTTTAAAAAAATATTTAAAAATGTAGGCATGTATTAAAATATATATAAACACATGAATTAAAAAAAATAAACAAATGTATTTAAAAAAAATAAAAAAAGAATTAAAAAAAATAATTTATTTTTATGTCTTAGACAAAAAAAAGTATTTTGAAAAAATAAATAATCGTTTTTTTAAAAAATATATAAAAATATAGGTATGTATTAGGTATTCAAAATATATAAAAAACATGAATTATAAAAAATTAAACTTATGTCTATTGATAAAATAAAAAAGTTAATTAAAACAAATATATTTTAAAAAAAATAAAAAAAAAAAATTTAAAAGAATAAAAAAGATTTTTTTTAAATGTGCATGGCATCATCGGCCATATCAGCTCTTTGGTAAAATGCTCTCGAAAAATCGGCAGGACCTCTATTGACTAAACCGCATCTTCTTCTATAGCAAAGAATTGCAGCTATACAAATCGGCAAGGCTGTTATTAAACCTATCAAAATAATAATTTTTAATAGATTTATAATATTAAATCATATTTTAGACGGAGCCAATAATATATTATAAACAAATATCATTCTAAAAGAAATCTATCGATTCATAATGAATTGATAGAAGCTTATCTATCAAAAAGATGAAATGAAATGATGCTTATTAAGATCGATATAAATCTTTTACAATTTCAATTTTGAATTTTTTTCTGGATAATATACGTACCAACAAGAATTCCAATCAACAAAGCTCCATCTCGCTCAGGTCTATTCCCAAATTTATCCAAGCACCTCATTTCTGTATGCTTTTTTTCAATGGTTAATAAATTTTCACCTATCATTTCCACTGGTTCTGAACACCTTAAATAATCAACAATAGTTAGAATAAAAATCTTGCAGACATAAAAATTTGGTATCATATTTAAAATTAGAGAGATGTGTATTAGGAGGCTAATTTTTATCTAAGGTTGGTTCTTTATTTCTATTTCTAATTCTTACTGTAATCCGTGGACAAGTTGAGGTGTTTTTTCCTCGATTTGTTTAACTAATTCACTAGCAATCCACTGATTTTCACAATCACAAGACCAATGGTTAAAACGAATATCAACTATTTTCAAATTGTCCCATCTGCCTATGAAATGACGATCTATTGTACTTATGTTGTTACTGTGTAAATAGACCTAAAAAAATAAAAAAAAGTTTAATAGTCACATAGTAAAAAATTCTTAATTTTACTTCTTATTGATTAATTTGATTATTTACTATTTTTTTTTTATTTTTACAAACTTTATTTAGTTCATTTCTTCCAATTTTGGCGATGACTATACCACCTAATCTTTAGATAAGATTAGACATACCTAGAATTGTTATCGCTTACCAGCTAATTTTTTAATTGCTCCATTTATCCAATTTTAATCAGAACGATATAATGTTTCAACTTTTTTATTTTAAAATATATGAATCATTGCAATTATATTTAAATCTTAACTTGAAAATAAATGTCTCATGGGAACATAATCAGAATAGTAAAAATTCATCACTGGTGATTGTAGATCTCAAAATAAGATAACAAGTAGAAATAGACTTTTGGAAAATAGCTGCATATATTAACTTACTATTAGAATATACCTAATATAATCTCATCAGAAAACAGAATGGTCAACCACTGGGTTGCCTTCTATAAAACACATAGTTCTGAGTGCTGTACAAATATTAAAGAAGGGAATTTATTATCTATACCAGTTCCAGAGGTGGCCAAAGTTCTCCCTCAGATCCTGGCTGGTCATCATGTCTAGATAAGGCAGATTCATGTAGGAATTTTAGGCGTGGGTTATTATTCATATGCAGTTCTTTTAATTTTATCAATCCACTTAAAGACTTTTGACCAATGCTGATGAGGTCGTTCATATAGCACATATGAAGTACTTCCAAGGAAGACATCGTTGGAAAAATGCTGGAAAAAAGCTATATATCAGTTTTCTTTTACGTTATAGACCTCTATGCTAACAAGGAGATTTTTTGGTTTTCTGGCCCAAGATTTTGATGGAACTTTGCATGGTGATGGAGATGATAGTCAAAACAAGCTTTTTAAAATATCAGAGTCTTGTGAGAAGCGGAAATCATAAAGGCTTGTTTTGACTATTAAATCTGAATCCTGTGAGGAGTTCCATCAAAATCTCAGACGAGAAGAGCTGGGTATCTCCTTTGCTGATGAGGTTTTGTTCATATAGCACATGAAGTACTTCCAAGGAAGACATTGTTGGGAAAATGCTGGAAAAAGCTATAGATCAGTTTTTCTTTAAATTAAAGGGGATTCTCTGGTTTTCTCGAGATGATAGTCAAAACAAACTTTTTAAAACATTAGAGTCTTATGAGAAGCGGTTCAATCATGAAGGTTTGTTTCGACTATCAAATCTATCACCGTGAGTAGTTCCATCAAAATCATAGACGAGTAAACCTGAGTATCTCCTTTTTAGAGAAATTAATTTCATTTAATTTTAGTTTTATTCATTTGGCAGCGAGAATAACAATTTCTATCATCTTGAGATTTAATTCTGTTTTTTACTCACTTGTCGCTTTCTAAGGATGTTATTGGATTCTCATTCAAGTTCAACCAAGTTAAACTTTGGGCATACCGAAGACTTTCAGGCAGTTTTGTAAACAAATTTCCAGTCAAATTCAATGTTTTCAAATCTTTTGGAGTATGGAGCAAATTTTTTGGAAGCGTTTCTAAGTCTAAGTAGCTCAGATCCAAATGCTGGACAAAGGAAAAAATGAGGCTGTTAATAAATACTATTAGTAAATTAGTAGAGATGTTCTTACTTGCAAATGTAGGAGTCCAGATATAGCAGTTTCTGTATGTGTGTCTATCACTTTGAAAGGATTTGATTCCAGAGACAAAACTTCCAAAGTTCCTAAATGTTCGAACAAATCTTGGTCTAATGTATGTAGCATGTTATTACCCAATTTCAGTACTTTCATCGATTTTAATGGCTCATATGCATCTGGAGAATAATCGCCCTGTACCAAAAAATAATAATAATAAAAAGATGGATAAAAGTATAGATTTGTTTTAAAGAATTACTTACCTCGAAAACTGATGGAATTAGAAACTTTGATGTCAACCTGTTATTACTTAAGTTCAACTCCGTCAAATTTTGGAGATTTTTGAAAGTTGCAGGTTCAATTCTTAAAATCCTGTTTAGACTCAAGTCTAAAACCTATAATATTAATCATAGACATTATTAATGGATATTTTATAATTAAATATTGGTTGGATATTTCAATATATTATTTATGGTTTAAAAATTAGGTAACATTTTTGAACTTGCATATTTTTTAAATTTATGATTAAATTTGTATTTAAAACATAAATATGGCAAAAATGTTAGCTAATGAGCATTATATGAAAATCTTTATATAATTATATCAAGGATATTTTATTAATAAATATTGTAGAGGTATAATCATATGGTAATAATAAAAATACATAACCTAACAAAGTACATTTAATTCTAGTTTGGCAAAAATATGAACATTTGGTTTGGTCATTAATATATCAATTGATATTAACTAATGTTGATAATGGGAATTGCAAAACAAGATAAGAAAGTCTGTAAAATTTTACAAATTTTTGGAAATTGATGGTTCAATTTTTAGAACTCTTCCAAAATTTTTGGCATTCTAATTTGGAAACATGGACATTTTCCTTGATCATTGATCATCATCGTTAAGACAGTGATTTCAAACGTTTTCATACATTTTTTTAAAATTATTTTTCAAAATTTACTGACATTATAATTTATTTAATGTACTACAAAATTATATGAAATAATATGTAAACGTGTACATAACTAGTGGTGTATGGCATCGTGCCTTAAGGCAAATTGCTGGAACTTTTCGTACCGTAACAAAATGATCGAGGAATATCAAATGTTTTCAAATAGTTTATTATAAATACTGTAACATTGTCTAAAATTTGTTTTGATAAACTGAATTACAATGTTAAAATTATTTATTTAAAGTATATAAGTGAGCTTTAGAACTTTAGCCACACACATCCATTTGATATTATGTTATTTTGGGTTCGATTTTTTTAATACCCTAAGAAGCGCCCCACAGATTAGAAATCGCTGAGTTATAACAATGTATACTAATGATATTAATTTATTTCAAAACAAGCTTACTTTTATATCAAGTGCAGGAAACGGTAATAAATGAGTCAATTCATTATTTTGCATCTGCACAACACTGATGTTAGTTTTGGAGTCATCCATTAGTTTATTCCATTCATCATCAGTAAAAACAGTTAAAATTTGGCGTGCATTACAATCCAACACTCCCGTATCATTGTTGCAAGTACATATAGAACAAATATCTTTCACTTTAATTGTTCCAGAGTTATTATTCTGACAATATACACTGCAAATAATAGTCAATAAAACGATTTTCGCACAAAAATGCATCTTGAGAAAGTATGTTTTATGAAATGCACAGAACAATCCGAACGAACATTGCTAAAATCAATTTTATTTAGAACAGAATTACATGATATCTTATCACTAAGAGCACCTTATCTTGTGATTAGTCTATCACACGAAACAAGAAGTGAGGTAAATTTGGTATTGTTTGTCGACTGATAAACTGATAAACGATTACCTGGTTTCATTATATATTGTGCAAGGTGGTACAAATTTAAATACATGAAGATAAAAGGTATATGATAGTCGATCAAACAAGTTGCACATCACTATATTATTACCTGCAAGTGCGTGTTAATATAATGATTAATAAATCTGTTTAATTTTGAGGAATATTTGTGGGAAAAATATATTGGTCATGGTATATCAATTTCTATGAAAATGGACTTTAATCTTAATAATTGCTGTCAAATACAGTCATTTAATTGAGCTTAAAGACACCGTACCTTACTTTGCCTCATTTTTTTGCATTTTGGACGCAGATTTTGGTGCAGATTTTGGCAAAGTGCTCCTGGTAGCAAAGGGAATTTTAAAGTCCCAGGTGGTAGATATGAATAGCAATTTCTGCAAACAAATTTATTCTCCATTGGAGAAAACAAATTCAGCAATTATTGAATCAATTTTTCATAAAGGAAAGTCGATTTACGACTACAATAACCCATTATTGAATCATCATCAGATACTCATCAATAATCACCTTTTGGAAGGTGGTTTTTTGGAAAGTAACCACGACCAAAGTGGTAAGGTATTGGTGTACAATAAAGAACATTTGTCTATTAAGACAATTTTAAAACTTATTTAAAATTATAAAAATGTTAGTTACGTTAGTCAGGACTTACCAGAAAACGAGCTGTTGTGCTCGAACTTCTACTTTTGCCCTGTATTCAGATGGCAACCCGATGGTTGACCAATTTATGTTTTATATATTTATTCTTATTAGAATCTAATAATAATCATACATTATTTAACTATTTGCAGCAATAAGAAAGGCTGTTTTCACTTGAAAACAAATTTTAGATCTATGAAAATGGGGATGGAGGATGAGCAATATATTTAGGATCTAAAAAATGGGGGCAGCCCAACTGTTAACCAATTTATATTTTATAGAATTATTCTTATTAGAATTTATCTAATAGTGATCATATATCATTTGATTAAATGCAGCAATAGAAAAGGCTGTTTTAACTTGGAAACTTATTTTAGATCTATAAAAATGGGTATCGGGAATGAGCAACATATTTAAGGTCTAAAAAAATTGAGTGGGCAACCCAACTGTTAACCAATTTATATTTTGTAGAATTATTCTTATCAGAATTTATCTAATAGTGATTATATATTATTTAATTAAATGCAGCAATGAGATAGCCTGTTTTCACTTGGAAACTTATTTTAGATCAATAAAAATGAGGATTGGGGATGGGCAACATATTTAAGATATAAAAAAATAGGGACAACCCAACTGATAACGAATTTATATTTCGTAGAACTACTCTTATTAGAATTTATCTAATGAAGATCATATATTATTTAATTAGATGAATCAATGGGAAAGACTGTTTTCACTTGGAAATATATTCAGGATCTAGGAAAATGGATATATGAAAATGAAAATTGGGATCGAACACAAGCATTTGAAATTAGTCCGGAATTAGAAGTAATAAATATTAAATAAGAATTCATTTTAAGGATAGCTGTATACAAAAGTCTGTTACAATTCGAGAAATCCTTTTAAATTTCGCGCTGCACCTCAATTCTTTTTGCTAAGTATGGCAACACTTTTTCCCAAGGTTTGTGGCAATTTATTTGCAGAGGCGGCACCGCGTGTGGTACGTCATCGAACATGCGTCAAACGTCAGTGGGAAAACGATAAAATGTCAACAAATTGAGAAACCGGACGTTTGTACTGATTCTTTTTAAAAAATATGATCAAAAGTATTTATAAATTGATTATAATATGTTTTTAATGTTCTGAATAATCTTTCATGATCATTTTTTCAGATATTTTAACAATATTTTTGTATCTGCAATGGTGGGCAATTATCATATATATGAATCAAATTTGATTCTTGTCATTAATTTTTTTCTTTGTTTAATAAGGGTACCAACAACTGTCCATTATTGAAGAGTTGATAAATGAGTTTTATGCAGGAACCACTTCTAACAGTAGAAAACATGATATTGAGGTACAATTGGAAGCATTTAAGCAAGATAGTTCATCTTGGAAGCTTTGTTTGTGCAATTTGACACAAAATAATCACATTCATGTATGGATGTTTGGAATAAATATTATCGAGGTAATGTCTTACAGTTTTAATTATTTATTACCTACTGCAATTAAACTTTTGAGTAAAAAATGTATTGACTTCTACTTTATTCAGGATGTTATTACAAAAAGGTGGTTCACTTTGGAGAATAATGACAGATTGTTGATAAAAAGACTTCTTATGGAAAAATATTAAATCAAAGTTAAATTGTACCACACAAAGATATCAAACAAACAAATTAGCAAAATTATTAACTGATATTATAAAGCGTGAATTTCCCTTAGGATGCAAGAGTATTTTCAAAAAATTATGGATGTAAGTAATATAATATAAGTGACTTAAATAACAATATTTACAAAATTTAAAATACTTAAATACTATAAAATACTTTTTTCTAATTTAGATGGTCAAATCCACACACTGCCATTTAGGAATAGTTCTATTCCATGTTACATGCGAAGAAATTATAACAAGAAATGACATCATTCAAATCGAAAACAGCAATTAGTCACAAGTTTAAATGGAAATTTAGATGATGTTTTTACAATAATTACACGTAAGTATAATTTAACAAACCCAATTAAATGTTTCCATACAAAATGCATTGTTTATTACAGAATTACTTCAATCAATTATGAATAAATGGTCAATGGAAATACCCGCCATCTTCTCCAAAAGAACATGTTTTAAATGAGGCTGTGTTAAGAAATATTATGTCTGTTGATGACAATAGTGTTAGGTAATTTGGATAACCTTCAAATAGAACTAATATATAATTTGCTTGCTATAATATCTACAATTTTTTATATTTTAGAGAACTTTGTTTTGAATTACTGTGCACGGTGCAACATTTATTTTCTTGGGTGGAACTCTCAGAATATGTGAGTTCAGATTTACTAAATATTTTGTTTGCATTAGCCGATGTCACCTTACAAAATTCAGAAACAATTAGTATTGTTGCACTGTCTGCTATTACAGAAATTCTGTATAGAAAATGTGCATTTGCAGGATTATCAACACTTCTATGTGGTCAAATATGAGACTGATATGCCGAATAAATTATGCAAATAAACAAACCAATAAATGCATTGGTTTAACAGATAGGTATAAATGTTTAAAAATATTTAACTTGGGTACTGTTACAATTATTATTATGTATTCATTGTTGTGATATTTTTTCAGTTACTTAGAAAAGACTACAGAACTGATTAAAAGTTTGTGATTCAACATTTTAGTAGATTATTATCAGAACCAACTTTGATTCTCTTCAATTTATGTCATTATTTTTCATTACACCTTTGTTGTAAATAAACAAAGTGTAGATTGTTATATGGGCTGTTTGGAAGTATGGTGCATTTTATTGGATTTCAATATAAATACTAGTATTGATAGGTAATTTAATCATTCCATATAAAATCAATATATAATCGCTGTTCCTGTATGATCATGAATAATTTTTGTTATAGTTCAAGAATGCTATTCTAAGTATAGCAGCAAGTTGTTTTAATAATATCATATTTTCATCTAGTGGAGAATTTCTTTCTTCAATTGATAAAGAGACTTTAGACGATGATGTAAGTTAATAATTTAAATGTTATTCATGCATATTTATTAATTACTTTAAACTATTTACAGCTACAATCAGACTGGCAACATTACTTAAAGCAAAGTTTTGAATTGATCTCAAAAATAGCTGAATTTTATCCTTATCAAATTTAACTATGACGGTCAGTATCTAATAATATATTGTTTTATTATTATTTGCTGATTTATGTTTATAAACCTATTTTTTACTTGTAGATTGACCCCTGGAAAAATTTATTAAACATTTATACACAAATAAATAGTGCTATCAATACGGAAAAGCAATATGTATACAAGAATGTGAACTAAAATGTTTTAAATATTTTACAAGATCTTTCAACACTAAGCCAGTGTATAAGTAGATTAGCTAGTATTTTTTAGGTATATTTGTCATGATATTAAGCTTTTTAATTCTTTTAAACTTCATGTAATGTTGCATATTTGATTTCCACAGAATCTGCAATGATTCCAATATTCAACAATTAGTGCATTTAATTATTGCCAAAACTATTGAAGCCTGCCAATATTCTAATAAGCATGAATTATATAATGTCAAGTGTAATT